ATCTATCTATCTATCTATCTATCTATCTATCTATCTCTCTCTCTCTCTTTCTCTCTCTCTCTCCCTCTCTCGCTGGCTCGCTCACTCGCTCCCTGTGACGACCCCCTCACTTCCCTCCCAGAGATCGCTACCTGACTTCCCCACGAAACACAAGAACCAAAGTTGCAACAACAGCTAATATCCCCCAGGAGGACAGAGGCATGTCACTATTTTGCTTGCGAAAAGACCGCTAAAAAGCAGCTGTCTGCCTCTATAACCAATACGTTTGTTCAAAATTAGAAAACTCGATTAGCAGCTGCTAAAGACAACCGAATAGAAAGTTAAAGAGAACAATAATGTAGTAAATTTAGCTGCTGAAACCACCTGAACACTGAACACCACTATCTTGAAACTACAATGGTTTCAAAACAAACTGCGAAAAAGGTGTCTAAAAAGGAGACGAATGACTAAAATATCACCCCTATTTTAATGAAAACTCCAATGGCTGCCATCAACAGCTAGAATTATTTACAATAATGCGCTGCCCTTTGCCATACATGTGATAGCTGTAGGGCAACAGACATTATAGGGCGGTCAAAAATTCGTGGCGCAACCTATTGGTAAATATTTTCTAAACTATCAAACTATTGTCATCTCTCCAGCTTTCGCACAATGACTTGTATCAATATGTCTTAACAGATAAACATTTATGTAAACACCTGTTGGCTGCATTTTAGAAAAATCCTTAATAAATACTGATAAAAAATCCAAGTGGAGTTTTCTACAAATTTTAAAAGGTTTGCAGTTGGGGCATGATCGTTATTCTAAAAGCAAGTCCGTCATGTTTTTCTAATTGCGACATTGTACTTATTTAACGCATGTTTTGAGAACCTATAGTGCAAAAAAGTGTTCACTACACTCTATAAAATTGATTTCTTGTATCAAGTTTTGCCTCTAAAAAGTGTCATAGGTGAGCTCTGGCGTAGGTCATGTGCGTATGTAAAATGTGTGTGAGAATCGGGAAGTGCTGTGAACAACTCCATTTTTTGCTTGATGGAGAATTATAGTATTTTATATAAATTTATGAAGAAAAGTTTTTTAAAACCTAGCCTCAAATTGATATGGAAAAATATGAATACGTGAAGACAAATTTATACAAACTGTTGCGCAAAGTATGCGTGACACTGGTTTACCCGTTAAAGAGATATTTGAGTATATTAAGTTGAGACACAAATTTTTGACCGCACTATAAAAAAGTCATCACTTAGATGCAGCCCCCACGTGATATTTCGGCATACCTTTATCAAATATTGTGGACTTTCTCTTTCCGCTCCCCCCCCCCCTTTGAAGTATACCAAGTACTACCACGTTGATACATTTTCTACGTAACCATAAAAACCCGGTATCTAATCAGGACATGAGACAAAACAGTAAAGCGCATAGAGCTGTGTTGTATTGGAGTGGGTGCTAAAAATAATCTACATCATCATAATTTGTTTTAAATAATACACCTAATCTCGTTTAAACTGTAGTATTATGTGTGACGTTCAGAAACAATACATATCACGAATCAACCTAGATGGCTTTTTGTAGCCCCGGATGATTTCCATCTCACCTAGTTTAAGAGCTTCTTTCTGTAAAAGTCCTGGTAGTAAGATAAAAGCTGTTATAACTAAAAATGTAAAAACACTTTTCCCAATCTATAAACGGAGTACACAAGGCAACGCAGTCTACTAGTTGTCACAGAAGCAATAGCGCCACTGGATCTGTGCATCTAAAACGTCACGTCAACCGTGGCCATCCTCATTAAGAAACTATCGAAGGTACCAAGGTAAAGGTGACTGACGGGCGCTCTGGTGTGGTTTGGCCCTTCTTCCCTGTCTAACATTCATTGTCATCATGTTCCTCCTTTTTTTCTTTGATGGTTGCTCTCTAGCAACATTTCTTATTTTTGGAACATATATGACTTTATTGTGTTGCAAATGTCGTAAACTTTTATTAAAATCAATATAAAATCTAAGGTATGTCGAGTCATACGATGTTTATACGGAAATGGAAAGAATCCAACTTAAATATTGTACGGTCTCATTGCTGAAAATGGTGAAAACACAAAGAGTAAAAAGAAGGTACGATGGTGGGGCACTTTGTTTGATGTGGAAAAAACGAGTCTGGAAGACATGAAGCAAATGTCAAAATGAGAATCTAACATTCAGAGAGTTGACACGTTTATTCAAGAAGACAGGTGGCTGAAAATAGAGAAAATGAAATGGCTTTTGAGTGATAGAAATAGACCTACCACTCAGTTGTGTAGAGAACTTTTGGCCCCAAAGGTCTCACAAATGCCAAGCAAAAGATACATGGACTTCTGAACAAGGGCATATTCTCAAAAATGGTAACTCCACTCCCAATCTAATTACACGGTGGATCTGAATAAATACGGAATATATACGCACAGGAGTTAAGTATTACAAATAGTTCGACCTTTCCCAATCAGTCTTTCACCTTTTGCTGCCCTTAAGGCGACATTTAGCTAGAAACAGGTTGGCACAGAATGATGATCTTATCACAGAAATTTGAAATTGGATACATTTCCTTAACCAATTTATTTTTTAAAGAAGGGAATATGTTCTCTACCTTGGTCCTTGTAACAATGATTTTTGTCAGTGGCCATTTTCACCACACACTTTGGACAATCTCTGTAAATTTTCGGGGAAATTTCTCACCACTTCTGTAACTGGGGGAGGTCTTTCCCCTATGGTGGTCAGCGTCATCGTTGACCAGAACATGCAGAGTATGTACTTCCTGGGGATGACGAATGCAGCACAGGCCAGTTGCAGAAGTGATTTAATTATTTTTCTCAGAGGGGTGGGGGGTGAGGTGGAATGAGAGTTTGGGATAAAAGCTACAGATAGGGTGGAAAAGGGATATGTTCTGAGGAATTACACGCTACTTATAATTTCTGCTACATGTTTCCTACCTGTGACATATTTACATGAGCAGCAAACAGCAAATTCCACCCCGAAGAAACACGTTTTCTGTTGCAAATAAAAATCTTTGACTCGCAGAATGAGTCTGTCCACAGAAAGCATGATTCAATGCACAAAAACAAATAGATGTCAACATGTGCATCCTGAATCCTCAACAAACACCTTGGAAAGACAACTACTACTACTGCTGCTGCTGCTGCTGCTGCTGCTGCCATCCCTGCTAATACTGCTGCTGCCATCCCTGCTAATGCTGCTGCTGTTGTCACCACCCCATGGTCTCATTACCGTTGTTTTTTAACCTACCCGAAGTACTAATGACTCCTTCAGAATCAGAAAAGGTTTTTCTTTAGTCTTTAATGAATTTAATGAAGAGAGTGCTGAACTTACTTTGAGAACTTGGTCGATTTGGGATCCATTGGGTAAACCCATTCGTTGGTACCAAGGCCTTCATACTGCATGGATTCAAAAGAGAAAACAAAAAAGCTTGCTGCCGTTTTTCCTTCTCTACCCTCCCCCTCCTGCTTGTGTCTCCATCTCCCCCCTCTTCCTTTCCTCCTCTACGTCCTTCTCCTCGTTCTCCTCGTCGACCTACACCTCCTCTTTTCTCTCCTCCCCCTTCTGTCCTATCCCTCTTTTCCTAAACCCCGTCTCATTCTCCACACTACGAATATCTCCTATCTCATTTCTCCCTCCTCCTCCCAAATTCCTCCTCCTCCTCCTCCCCTTCCTCCTCCTCCTCCTC